CGCACCTGCACCAACTGGTTAGCCGAATACAAATAACAAGTAAAAATAAAATAAGGAGGCGGGATCTTATGGTCAAAAATTAGGGTGCAACACTACTTCAACAACTCAACCTAATCAACAACCAAGCCAACCCTCTCAAAACAAAACAACACACACTGCTAAGAGAACTTCTACTCAACAATCTAGCCAAGCATCTCATACTTCTAAGGGAAAGGCTATTCAGAAGACACATGGACTTGCTAAGGGCAAGACATAAAACTGCCTGTAAGGAAGCCAACAAGACCTTTTGTGTCACCTGGACCTACAACTAGGTTGAGTGCTGCCAAGAATGTTGTTGGCCCAGTAACAAAGAGGCCTACTCCAATAAAGAGGACCACGGCAAAGAAGAAACTCTAGTTGTGGAACATGTGTACCAGTTGTGTTAAAAGCATAACCTATTTTGTGGAACATGTGTGGAATGTATTGCAGGTTTATGTATTTTGTTGTTGTTGTGGAACATGTGTATTAGTTGTGTTAAAAGCATAACCTATTTTGTGGAATGTATTACAAGTTTATGTATCCTGCTGTTGTTGTTGTTGTTTATGTAGCCTGCTGTCATAAACTTTATGTTAAAAGTATAACCAACTTATAGGTATTATGAAATGAACCTAAAAGCAGAACCTGTCATGAACTTTATGTATTATGAAATGGACCTGTAATGAACTTTATATTACTACGATCATGTCTAATGTGGTGTAAAAATGTAGACAAAATAACAGACCAACTTTGACAGGTCTATAACAGACCAAGTAAACATAAAAACATAACATACTAAATATATCATTGACATACCAAATTAACATAATCTTTAACTGTTGGTTATGCTTTGACAGACCAAATAAAAAACATTTTGACATGATATTTATCAATGCATACCAAGTTAACATTATCTTTAACTGTTATATTCATGTGGAACTAATACAATCCAAAACTAAAACTGATACATTCATGTTGAACTGCAAAAAGTGAAATTAACTAAACTGATGCATGATTAGAATCCATATATTAGAATCCATCTATTATATTCACGTTGAAGTGATACAATCCAAACCTGATACAAACTTTAACTGAACTTAAACCTAATTCTTACAACCAAAACTTAACTTAATTTTTACAAACAAACCATAACATACTACTTCCAAACAAACCTTAATACCCTAACTACTCTTAACAACTAATACAATGATAATCATCACAAACATCAAATTCAAAATCTTTTTCCACTTCATGATATTCTTCATTTCACTTTCAAATTTCATCAGCTTTTTCCCTAATTCTTCATTCTCCATTGTCACTTTTTTAATGTCCTTTTTTTCTTTAGCAAGTCCCTTAGTTACCACACCCAACTATGCATCAAAAATTGCTCCTTCTCATCACCCATCTCCTCATAAAACCAACCAAAGAAACCATAACCAGGTTGCATACCTCCCTGTAAGTTTCATTGTTTAGAGGATGATGGATAATGAATTTAAACTTAAACATAAATATAACTTATAATTTGGGCAAAAACAAAAACAAAAACATGACTTAAACAAAAACAGAACTTCAACAGAGAACAAAACCAGCTTGCATACCTTATAATTTGGACAACCCCAAATTTTTTTTCCCATATTCTTAACAGTGGTTGCCCTTTGAAGAACAACCATGTCTCTACAATGGCATATGAGCTTCCATCGTGACTTACTACAAACATTTGAATCTCGACTTTCCGATTTTAACATGGAGGAGGAACAATCGGATTTCATGCTTGCCAAATAAAAAAACCCTAGATTAATTTAGGGATTTTGGATTGGGATTGGGAAATCACAGTCGCACAATGTGAACAAAAGAAGGAAGGAGAAAGAAGTAACATGATGAACACAATTTCCAGGTCATCTTCCAGATATACAAAATAAACTGACGTTTGGGGACAACTAACGTGAGGACTAAATTGACACCATTTTAAAAGTTAAAGGACCAACTTGACACTTTTTTAAGTTAAGGGACCAAACTGGACCCCGAGTTAAGGGACAAAAAGGGGTATTTTTCCAAAATTATAATAGATTATGAATGATGGAATAATATTACAACTCAAATACCTTATTCTATAACTTAGAAATAAGATAGATGAATAAAGTATTACACAAAAACAAATGTTGAATGCCAAACATGCTTTAAATTGATCCATTATATTTGGCATTTTTAATCTCATTTGTTATGTTTTATTGGACTTATTCCATTTTTTAATGTTATTCTTCAAGTATGTCAAAATACCTTTGGTTGCTTTGATTTGTATATTATTGTGCAGAATTTAGGCATAATCTATTAAAGAAGTAAGACACAAGGAACATTGACAAGGAAGCCAAAGAAAATGTGAAGATTTAGCATGTTTGTTGGACGAACAAAAGCGAGCAGAAAGCGAATATTCGCTGGGCGAAGTAGCAGCCAAGCCCCAGCGAACCCTCTCAAATTAAAGACAGAAAGAAAAGGACTATAAGTTTGCTGGGCGAACTTGTAGCGAGTATTCGTTGTGCGAAGTTTCAACGAGAAGGAAACCTTGGATAACAATAAGTAAATGACCATAAGTTTGTTGTTCCAATCTATAGCGAAGTAGTCCGTAAGGAGAAAAATAGTTTGCTAGGCGAGTTCAGATATTTTTCAAGGGCGGTTTAACTGTTTAATGGAATCTCAGGTGCCATAAAGTTGACCTCGCTGGACAAAGAAAGAGTTTACTGGGCGAACTAGGCAGACTTTAGTTGTATTATATAAGTACTTTTCACACTTTTTGGGGATTATAACCCCCATTTTCACATAGAAACTCATTTCTTCAGCATTTCTTCACCAAAAAGTGAGATTTTGCAAATAGAAGCTGAATTCACATCCGAGTTTGTTTCTTCGACGTAGATGCTCATTCATCTTCTCTCATTACTTGTAAAGCAAGCTACCATGGTTATGGGTAGCTAATTTCCTTTGTATCAAATGTAGTCTATCTTAGTTTTATGTATTTATTTTGATTGGCCTTGTATGTGAATAAGTGACGATTAATATGTGATGAATATTTTTGTTCTTAATGATCCATTCTTGTTTTGTAAAACTCTAAACATAGAATTTATGAAATATGACCTAAAATATTCACGTATCGGTTTATATATTGGAGAAATCGTTCTATGGTTGATATTTGCTTTGTATTGAACTTAAAGCTTACTATATTGGTTGTTATATGGAAAGATCGTGTAGCGATGAATACGATATTTCTCACGATGCTGCTTTAGAGATAGACGGTATTGAGAGAATACACGATGATATTAATCGAATTTGACTTCACATGCAAGATTGAAAGAATACATATAAGTTAGGGTAGATGAAAATTACTTTTGATATAGTTTGTTAATCAAACACTTTAGAATTTATAAGTTTTGCTACTAAAAATCGTGACAATTTATGAAACACAATTTGAAAACCCTTTTTCTTAGAACGCTGAACTATTGAAAGACAAGCTTTAAGATATCAGACAATCTCTATGGAGACGATAACAAAAATCTCCCTTTAACTACAATTCGAACAACAAACACAAGAATCAAAACAAATTAACTCGCCAATCTTAGTTATGTAAGCTTCAAGTCTTCACAATGGAGAATGCCTCCTAAAATAGCAACACATGTCCAACTTTAAAGCCCATTAGGGTTTAGATCTTGAACGCAGCTGAACTTCCCAAAACCACAAGAATCGTATCTTCAATAATGTTGATTGTAAAACTTGATTGATTAAATATTAAACACATTATAATTCATTAAATTTAATCGTGCGAAAAGCGATTATGAATAACATTTTCTTAGTCCAAAAAGCGCACAAACGTCAAATCCGTAATTTTATATATAAAAGGAAACAAATCTTAAAAGCGCGAGAATTTCTCAAATTATCTTGCATGCAAAGCAACCCAGATTGAGATGGTATGTCTGACATACTGAAGTATATTATGGTTAATATATTGCTTTCTTACTAAAGTGTTTTGATAATATAGAGACAAGATGTCTCAAATCTTAGAGCATCTTGCTTCACATGTTACTTATAAAATATTGTCAATCATATGTAATAACAGTTAAATTACAATTCAAGAAATATTATTGTAGTAATACGTTGTTTGATGAATTTTTTGAACTATGTAATTTCTTCAAGACGTGTACTTGAGATTTTGACTTAAGGGTCTTCCTTTTGTAATGAATATTTGTTCGCATGTGGAAGATCGAAGCACTCATCAAAGAATTTTGAAAGGCTTAGTACACCATGCCTTGAAATCAAAGATTGAATAAGAGAGATATTTGATAGATAATGGCTACAACTCTAACTTCATATTTTCCTTCTTTTTTTTAGTAGGTCATAAATCAATCAAGAAAGTTTACTAGAAGAAGGGATATCTTTATTAGTCAATGTGATAGAGTTTGTCAACCTTTGAGATAAGTCAAATTTCCTTTATACAAAGATGGGTTGATATGAAATCACTTGGTTTCTTTTCCATTCGTAAAATAAATAAAAAAACACTTGACCAATGAGGTGCGATCTCCAAACCTTTATTGATTCACTATAAGCCCGACCAGTTTGATATAGTAGTACTTGGGTGAACCAAAAAGGTCCTAAACTTCATGCCACAAATGGATCTAAATAAGAATGATGGTATTTTAAAGAGAGGGAACATTTGAAGTAATGCTTAAAGGAATGCTTAATTATGTGTTGTTATACATTTATTTCTTAATTTTTTTATAACACTACCTTGCTTGAAAACCAATTTTAAGAATTTGAACTTTAAATCTATCAACTTAAAAATAAATAAAAAATTCGAATCATAAATTGATTATCAATGCATACATAAACTGCCTTATTATTTACTAAACTTATTGTTTATCAAAACATTAACATAATTAAGCAAATAACACTTTTTACTCAACCAAACACAAACAACGTGAAAGTACAAATAATAATCTTTGTCATATAGTTTCATTTTCCATTCTATGCTCAATCCTTATTTGGTTAGAATGTTGCTGATGAAGTTCTTTCTTCCTCCATGATTTAATTGGTGGCCACCCCACCAAATGGTTTTCCCCTTCACTAATCAATCAAACATGTACAACATATATGAGTATAATGTAATGACACCATAAAAAAATTAATCAAATTACAAAGTAGTTTTAGTATATATTTGGAATCACAATGTATAGTTTCTGATATGTCGTGATTCTGACAAATTTACTGCTGATCTCATTAAATATAAAAGTCAAGAATCAACTTACTTGTTTGATGTGTGAACGTTTCGATTCATCTTTTTACTGTAGTCATCTTCCTCGTTTGGTTGTCCATTCCATACTAACAAAGACAAAGGTTTTAAAAAATGTCCATACGACTCTTTGATGATACGCTTGTTTTCGACATACTTCTTGTTGTAATTATGAGGATCAAATCCTTCAATGGAGCTATGAGTTTGTAGAGGCTGACCTAGTTGAATCTCCATGATGCATAAGAAGCTATGAATGTGAGGTTATATTATATATGTGTTTGTGTGTGAGTGAAGGATGGAAATGAAAAGGACTAATGTCTTGTTGGGTCGGGAAAAAGAAGAGCAGCATTATATGCTAGTTGAGAAATGAGAGGACCAATGTGTTACAGCCACTTTAATTACTTTCATTTATTGGTCCAACCAATGTGTCCCCACTTATACATATTCTCTCTTGGTGTAATGTTATAAGGAAGTCTCATATTCATAATCACTATAATTTGGTGAAGATTATGACTTTTGGGAGAATCTAATCTTTAAAATAGTATGTTAATTTATGAAAAGATAAAACAAAGACACAAATAGATAAGCAGATACAAAGATATAATGTTGTTATTTATGAAATGGAAGAACATGTATTTGTAGATGACATGATTGAACATCTACCTTTTAAAAAAGAATCCCTTTGTAGCCAAACATTAGTGTCATGATTGTGTGTTGCCAGAGTTACTTGTGTGATTCTGATCAATCATGGAGAAATCGTGTGAAGCTGTTGAGCACCTAATCACAAATACTTTGGTTGTGACCATTACACATGTATCAAAAGAAAGCTATAAACCATATAAAACTTGAACATGACACAACACTAGCGGCCACAGCGATAATAATTTTTAAAATTAAATAAATTAAATATAATTATAAGTGATGGTGTAGATGTCTTCCACAACATGTTTTTTTTTATGTGTTGACGTTAGATGATAAATAGAAAGAAAGTAAAAAACTGCTAGAGTAAAATTTACATGTTTTTTTTAAATATTTAGATTTTGTTTGAGAGTTTGGAGGAAAGTGGAGTGAAGATCTTTGAAAGAGAATTATAGATTGAAAAGAATTGAAAGATTTTTGTTAGAAAAATTTTAGAGATTTATTTTTATTTATAACACAAAATCTACTTAATATTAGAAATTCAAAGTTTGTATTGAATTAGAGTTTTGGATAATTTTGAATGATTTACATTAATTCTTCAAATATATTTTATATTGTTATGATATTCTGAAAATAAAAAAATATAGTTGTTTCGTTGAGGAACTAGAATCGAATGCAGTTTATAAATTGAACCTCTTGAATCAGTGATGTTGATCTTCCATACGACGACACAGAACTGACAATAAGGTTAGCAATTCAACGACTAAGTTAGTTCAAGATTCAAGATGAGTGTAATGAAAAGTGAAGATCATAGAATGTATCTTCTTTTCTGTGTGGACTGACTTTATACCTTGCGTCGCGTGGAGTGGATTTGAGATGAGCTGGACCTTGGTTATTTGAGCCTTTTGCTAGTCATATAGAGAGTCGGAGAAGCCTTTGATGATTTTGGCCAACCTCCAAGATGTTGCCTATTGCAAGCTAGACCCAAAACGATTGGAGTCAATTGAAAAAGTAGTTGGGACAAGCACATTAAATGGATTTCCATCATTGAAACGTTTAGCCTCTTTCTTCTGACACGTGTACTGATGCAACAAGTTAGAGCATGGTGCAACTCATAGTACACTTTAGTGCACTCAAGTTTGCACGTCTCCTCGAGAAGGAATTTAGTCATTGATCTCGTAACTCTTTTCTTTAGCTGATTTGGATCGTCTAATTGTTTTCGCCTGTAAATAGGAGGAGTTGAGTGTTTTGGGAACGTTTTGCAATCCTTGTCATTTAATTTCGTTCATATTCATTGTCTTAGTAAATTCATTCATATCTTATTTCCTCAGAGAATTATTCAGGACACTTGCAGTCCCTTAATCAAAATCTCTTATTTGTTCATTCACTCTGCTTCTTCAATTTCACGCACCCGAATATCGCCCTAAACTCAAGCTTTTTCTTCAGCATTTCCTGTTTCTTAGTTAGGATGAATGATAGTAGAGTTGACTTAGTGAGTAATTCTGGGAGCGAAACTTATCTTACTATGGCAATGGGGCATCCCCTGATTCCAATTTCCCTCCACTTGATCGTGATCGCATTGACCCATAAGTGATATTTGTATCTAATGATTCTGACTTTGAAAGGGCCTCTAGGGATTCCCTAAAGGAAGGAGCTTCTTCATTCGACTCATTAGAAGCTTTTTTATCAAATGTTTATCAAATATCGATAGAGAGATAAATCATACTGAGATCCATATGCCCCCTTCCATCTTGATTGAGGAGGAAATACAAGCTATCAAGTGGATGAGGGAACACACTGACAATTTCATCCAACTTTCCTTGAGAACCATCGGTCGCAAACCTAGCAATGTTGAGGTAAATGCCCACTTAGATTTTTGGGGCATATCCAACGTAGTATCTTGGATCACACACGACGAACTTTCTAAGATCGACCACCTAACTCAGAAAGGTGTGACGCTAGTGGATACAACCAATGTAATGAAGTATGGCTGGGTGAAGGCTGAGGTGGTAGGTACCTATCTATTATGAATAATAAGGAAGCAATAAGAATGTTGGCTTCATGGTCAGCGACCCTCACGAATGGTCGGTTCTTCTAGTGGGCCCAGAGAAGAGGATATGTAGTTCTTTTAACAACTGTGTGGTCCCACTCTAAGAGTGCATATTCACAATGATATGAGTACAGTTTCTTTTCTTCGACTTCAAAGTGTTTGTCCTGAAGTATTTTAAGGTTGTTACTTCCCAACTTCATCTAGGATCATGGGCTTTCATAAGGGTATTATAATTGTGTGTCAAGCATAAGTTTTTGAAGCCTTCACTCAGTTTGTTTTTCAATATATATTACTCGGTTCACACTTCTCGGGATGACTATCACGACCAAGGACTCATTAGTTTCCACACATACGATCTTTAGTTCAAACATTTCACTTAGGGGCAGGGTGATTTTCTGGAGTTTTTGTTACTAGTGAAGCCCCGTATGTTGGAGGCCCATATCATTTTTTGCTACTCCCCTACTGAGTCTTATCGCTTCTGCTAATGGAGCTTTTATGAAGTATTATTCCTCATCTCATTTCCATTGGGATGCCTTTTTCTATCATACTAAACCAATGTTGATTACTCCTAACAATGTAGCTATAAAGGAAGCCTCACATTCTTGGTTTCAGGTGCTTTGTTATGAAGAAGGATTTAGGCCCAAAGAGATGCCCTTTTCGAGACGGGGAAGAAACATATTGATATTTACTCCATCTTGAGTGGGAATATCCGAGAGAAGAGGAAGGATATTTTTGTGAGGGCGAGGTCATGTAGTTTTTTTCTAATGTGATTGTATTTTGCAGATAACATGGACAAGTTGCAGATGTTAAATGACCTCGCCAATGCTCAAGGGATCAAGGCTTGCTCTTCTAGCCGTGCTAGAACGCCTTCTCCCCAAAATACTATTCCTTATTTAACCACTAAGACTGCTACTGCTGTCATTGGGGTTGAATAATTTGTTACTACTGTGGCCACTTTTACTGTGGAGGAGGAGGCTCCCCTTCCCCCATTTCAACAAAGAGGTGTCATGATGAGAACCAACACTCCCTAGAAAGATGGTTCTCCTAAAATTGCTCATATTTCTAAGGACGATGCTTCAGGTGAGATAACTCTTTTCATCAGGATAACCAACATTTTCTAGTCCAAATTGCTCACACCCCTGAGGAGACAGCTACTACTATTTTGATTTGGATTTGTCCTTCATTCAAAGTCTCTTTGAGTTGGAGAAGATGGAACATGTTTCTCAGATCACCCATAACATGTATTGGGCTACTTCTTTGTTTTCTCTTCTCTCTACTGGTAGAGGAGACATCCTGGCTACTGGAAATCCTTATAAGGAAAGGGACATTTGGAAAGGGAAATGTGAAGTTATGGAGTGAAAGTGCCTCACTCGTCAAAAGTATTTGGCCGAGCCGTGAAAGAAAGTTGAACTTGCTAACTCTTTGGAATAGGAGGTGAAGACCCAAGATTCCCCTTCTACTCTAATTGTCAAGATAATTGAGTTAGAGGTTGCTCTTAAGGTGGAGGAGAAGCGATGCTAGGATACCTCAAAGGCTGCTATTGAGATGATCCTCAGAGTAAAGAATGATCGAAAAAAATCTTTTTTAGGAAGCAGAGGCTCATGTCAAGGCCTTAAAAACTTTTAAAGATGGGGTTATCAGTCAAAAGGCGACACTTCATGTTTCCCTCCAACAGATTATACAAGTTATGTTCATGTAACACCCCATTTTCCTGACTCGACATTTAATAAAATAATTAAATATAACTCAACAAATAGACTTATGCTTCACCATAACATAAAAGAAAGAAAAAAAAACTTTCATGAATAAGAAGTGGAAAAACCAATAAGTTTAGTGTATAAATCTCAACAACAAAAGATGTGAAAGTGGTTCAACAATCCTAAAAAAATAAGGCACGTAACAAAAGAAACATATAACATCTCATTTCCCAGTGATACATGTCAAAGCGACTCCACTAAGACTTGAACGATAAATAACTAAAGAGGCACAACTTCCATCCTCTAACATCAAACATACTCTTGTATCTGATCGTTTGTACCCTATAGTAACATAAATGCCACAACAAACAGAAAAGGGGTGAGAATACGTTGATATATAGATAGTGTGCATAAACAACAAGGATAAATAAGCAACATATTATCAGTGTCATAACTCGTATCAACTACCAAAACAATATTGATACCATAAACTCATGCAAAACAACTCAATTAACCCATACAATCAAGTTACCCACTCATATCAACTCATATAAACAATTGACTCATATTCAATACATACATGTATGCAATGCTCGACTCCTCAACTCTGTCAATGCTCGTCACAGTACCCTTTCTGAACCAGACTTGCAACTCAACTATATATTCATGTGGTACCATGTTTTTGGATGATCAGAGGTTTGTTACTGATTTACATCTTACCACGATCCCCTCTCTGAACAGGGCCGCCCCAAGGTCCCTTCTCTGAACCGAGAAAACTCTACAACTCATGAATGCATGTAATACAACTCAAATCTATCAATGTTCATCATGTGTCCCACTCTGAACCA